GGAGGGCAGGGCAGGTGCGGGGCTGTGCACGGGGGGCAGGAAGGGCGGCTCGGTGCTCAGCTCACGGCTGCGCTCCAGGCCTGAGACCTTGGGTGCTGCCCCAGCCTTGGCCTCGGACTTGTCGCCCAGTGTGGGGCCTGTGGAGAGAGGGGCCGGAGTGCGCCCAGGGTCCAGGCTCAATACTGCAGTCCACGACCCCGGGAGGAGCCTGGTTTCTGATGGGGAAACAGGCAGTGTGGAGCCTGCCCCCCCAACACTTCAGTCCCCATCCCTCCAGTGAGCCCCCCACCCCAGGCTGCCCACCCTCCAGGGAGTGTCCTGCACCTCCTGACCATGGTGATTCCACTGCAGGGGCTATTATGGCCCCATTTTACAGACGGGAGACTGAGGTGCATGGGGGAGTGGGCCCAAGCAGGGTGACACCACCCAGGCCACAGCCACAACCGGTGGGATGGATCACAAAGGCCTCTCCTGGCCTCGATGGGACCAACCCTGGGCATGCCTGTCCAGAGCACAGCGGCCAGAAGAGCTCTCTGGGACAATGCAGTGCCGGGTACGGGCCTGTCGCACTCAGGGTCACTGGCTTGGGGTGTGGCCAAAGAGTGAGTCCAGTCCATTTCATTTCAATGCAAACAGCCGCGCACCTGCAGTGGTGGCCGGGAGCGGGGGGCGGGGGCCCAGCTTCACGAGCCGTGAGCTGCTGGCCATCCCCAGGGCATCTGACCCCTTGAGCCTGGGGAGGGCCTCAGAACACACATTCCTAACAGTCCCCAGCGGGTGCAGGGACCCCACTTTGGGAACCACTGCTCCAGAGCTGCCTGTTCTTGTGGTTTTCTCGGGTCCCATCCCTCAGTAAATCCCAGCACCCAGCTCCCGCCCCAGGCACTGCACCTGACACTCACAACAGGACCGAACCTGGGTCCCCTGACTTCAGGAGTGTGCCCTGTCCACTCCTAGAGGCCAGGAACCCAGGCCACTTACCTTTATCAGCTGCCGGGGCAAAGAGCTTCTCGGAGCCCACAGACGCCTGGAAGAAAGAGGGGACGGTCAGAGACCAGAGGGACCTACAAGGTTGGGGCAAATCTGGCCCTCGCTCCCTGCCCCTGGCACCCAGGGAACAGGTCTAGAAAGGTTCTGTGTGTACAATGGCTGCCCAGCGGGGCAGGACACACCTTTTTGTGCCCAGTGCTCCCGTGTAGGAAAGTGACCACACCCAGGCCCGGCTGTAAGTACTCAGACACAGGTCACTCAGCCTGTGGCCAGGGAACCAAGGGTGCCCCACTCTGCAGGAATGCAGGGCTCAGCACGGCCCTGCTGGGTGGGGAGCTAGGACCTGGGAATCTGGGCGCCTCCCTGCAGAGCCAGCACCAGGAACCTGAGGGCTCTGCTGGGCCTGACACTGGAGGCGGCAGGGTCTGGGAGCAGAGCTGGGATGCCCCCGCCCCCTGGCCCCAGGCTGCAGGACACCACTGGCCACACCTCAGAATGCCTAAGTCACAGGTCTGGGGACCACGGCCACCGTGATGCACTGACTGAGCGGAGAGTGGAGAGGGCCACTCCGAGTGGGGGCAAACCGGCTTCAGGAGGGACCATGGCAGTTTTTGATGGTCCCCTGCCCCAACTCAGCTGCTCCCCTCCCAGAAAGACACCCGGGTGTGTGCAGGGCCTTGGTAAGGGCAGTCAACCCCAGTCCCTGCATCTGCTCAAGCCCCGGGCACCACGTCTCTGCTGCCGGTGCCTACCAGATGCCCCCGTCCTGGCTGCCGGGAAGCAGCGGTTGCTGGGGGTGGGAACGGGGACTGAGTACCAAAGGGCATGCGGATGGCCACTGTCAAACAAGACAGGACACAGCTTGGGTTGGCAAGGGTGTGGAGAAACTGGAACCCTTGTGCCTTACTGGTGGGAATGTAAAAATAAAACAGTGCAGTGGCTGTGGAAAACAGTATGGAGGCTCCTCAAAAACCGAGACAGAGAACTACCATACGACGCAGCAGTCCCACTGAGGGCATGTATCCAAAGAACTGAAAACAGCCTCCAGCAGATACCTGTCCACCCGTGTTCACGACAGCATTATTCACAAGAGCTACAACATGGAAGCACCCCACGTGTCCATGAATGGATGCATAAGCAAAATGTGGTCCATGCACACAGGGAAATATTATTCAGCCTTAAAAAGGGAGGAAATTCTGACATGTGCTGCGATGTGGATGAACCTTGAAGACGTTATGCTATGGAAAATAAACTAGACACAAAAGGACAAATGCTGTGTGATCCCACTCACACGAGGTTCCGAAAGTGGTCAAATCCATGGAGATGGAAAGCAGGATGGTGGGGCTGGGGACTGGGGAGTTAGTATTTATTGAGGACAGAGTTTCAGTTTGGGAAGATGAAAAGTTCTGGAGAGGGATGGTGGTGACGGTTAATATGAATGTATTTAATGTCCCTCGATTGTACACTTAAAAACGGATTAAGATAGTAAATTTTGTTGTGTGAATTTCACCATGATAAATAAAACATTTAAAGAAAAAAGCATGAAAGAGAAAAAGCATAAAGCTCCCAAAATGGGACGATGAGAACACTCTCTGACTGTGGTGGGTACTTAGTGGTATGTATGTATCCAAACACATCAAACTGTACACTTAAAAAGGTGTATTTTACTGCATGTAAATTATGGTGCAGGAAAACCGACTGTAAGATGGGGACTGTGGCAAGAACAGAAACAAGAACCCCAGACAGCCAGGCACACACGGGGCCCAGCAGAGGCCAGGGCAGCTCTGCCTGGAAGGCGGCTCCCAGGGTAGGAGTCTCTCCAGACTCACTGCCGTAACCGTGGAGAGCGAACCCAGGAACGTACCACAAGACACTTGTGCTGGAGTAGGGTCACCCTTCCTAATCATGTCCTGGGAAGCGGCAAAGGGAAGCAGGTGCCAAATGCAGCCTGAAAACACAGCCCCAGGCTGGACCCGGACCGGCACCGGAGGGGAGGCAGCCTGCAGCCAGGCCGGCCCAGAGCTCTCACGGCTGCAGAGGGGCCCACAGCTGGCCTCAGACGCAGGAGAGCCCTGGAGAGGAGGGTGGGTGCAGGGGTGCTACTCCCCCATCGGAGCAGGGGTGGTGGGACATGGAGGGTCCTCTCGCAGCGGAGCACAGAGGCTGAGGCCGGGGCACGTCCCATGCAGGGACACTGTGGCTGTGACCTCTTCCTGTGTTTGTTTCTGAGGCTTTCTGTACGGCGAGGAGCAGCTGTCAGAGAGCCTGGATTGTCGCCTCACCCCAGAGGAGTCCCCATGGGGATGAGGGGTCCATCTGAGCTGGGGGTCCGCAGAGGCAGGATGGGGGGTGGTCAGCGGCGCCTGCCCTCCCACCCCTCAGGGCCAGGATTCCACCTCAGGACCGGGATGAGGACAGCGCACGCCAGTTTGCTCTGCACCAGGCTCCGCCCACAGCTGGGAGCTACAGCCTGCCTCTAGGCATGAGGCCAGTTGCACCTGGGGCCCTGTACCCTTGGGCGAAGGCACTGGGTCACCTACGCTCCCACCCTCCCAGAGCCCACCCAAAGAAGCCCAGGCCTAAGAGGACTGGACCCTCACCGTGACCCCAGGAGGGGGTCCTGTTGTCACCTCCATTTGAGGTCCAACAGCAGTGCCCTGGTAACAGCTGTTGTCATCATTACCTGGTCTCATTAACACTCTCACAAATTAATTCTCCATCTAACAGCCAAGAGCATCTTTAAAAACCAAATCAGAACAAGTCACCTGGGGACTGAAAATATTCCAGTGCCTTCCCACCGCCCCCAGCCCGGCAAGGGCTGTACCAGCTGGCCCGTCTGGGCCCCAGGCTTACCTGAGGCCCCTGGCCCTGACTAAGTGGCTTCAGCTGCGTTCCCCAGCCCCTCACCTCCCCAGACCCCTGTCTGAGGGTGCCACCTACTAGCTGGCACAGGTTTGAGCCCTGTTCACTTGAGGCCCTGCACCAGTGGGAAGAGGGTGTGAGTGCACCCGCCCCACGAGATGAGCCAGGAAGGGGCGGCTGCTCCCCTCTCCTGAGGCTGCCCCTTAAGGTCCCAGTACCTGTGGCACTGACAGCCCCTCTGGGCCGCAGGGATGCTGCTAACCACGCAAGCAGCCTACGAGGGTCCCCAGCAGTCCCAGGGGTGTCCTCAGCAGGTGGAATGAAGGAGCTCAGTGGCTCAGCTGCAAAGCTGTCATTACCCTCCAGGAGCGTGGCTGCTGGGCCACCAGGAGGGGGAGGGCTACTCCATGGCAGGTCTGTCTCGACAGAGTGCCTCAGCGGCGCCCCATGAGCCCTCCCTGGAACCCACTCCTCTGATACAGCCTGGAAGGGAACGTGGCAAACGCGTCACTGAAAAACAAGTTTGTTCCTGTGGGGCAGGACTGCTCCCGGTCCCAGCCTGGGGAGGCACAGATGAGCAGCAAGTTCAGTTAAGGCTGCAGGGCCTCTGCCCTGTGGGGGAGGTCCAGCCAGGCTGGTTCTGGTTCAGCCCAAGGCCCAAGGCTGGAGCACTGGCTCCCAGAGCCAGGAGGTGGCGCCCCAGACACTGGGAAAGTCACGAGAGAGGAGTGGAGAAGGCAGGGAGCAGCAGCCGCGGGGAGTGTCTTCCCTACCCCTCCCCACCCCCGGGATGCCGCAGGGCAAAGGCAAAGGCAAAGGCAGACAGCAGGTGTGAAGGCCACTCTTCCATGTCCATCTGGTCCCCACACTCCCAGTGCCCAAGTTAAAGTTTCCTCAGGGAAGTTGAGGGTTCCAAGTCCCCTCCGGGGTTTAGGCAAGGACCTGGCAGCCTTCCACCGCAGGGCGAGGACCTGGACACCTGGCCAGGCACAGCCACGCCCACTGGAGAAGGCCCTCAACAAACACCCGCAGGCACCCCTACCTCCCAGGACCTCTGGGGGCCTGGGCCCAGGTTCCCGCCCCCTTCCAGCACAGGTACAAAGCCATCCCCGTGGGACCAGCCCCCTGTTCTTTCTCTTCCAAGACAAGGAGTCTGGAACTGGCCGGCTGACTCAAGGTGGGTGGGCAGCCCCAGAACCACCACCGGACCTGTGCTAATAACTTCCCAAGGATTATATACTGGGACCTGACCCAGGCGGAGCTGGCTGTCACATCCTCCAGTCCTGGCGCTGAGCCTGTGTGGGGGGTGGAAGGAAAGGGTCACTTCGGGACAAAGTACACGTTGGAGGTCCCCGGGCTGCAGGTTCAGGGTCCCGGTGGAAGGAGGATGCTCGGTAGGGAGAGTGTCCGAGCCAGCACTCACTCCTCAGAGGTGGGCAATCCCGGCCGAGTGCAGAGATCACAGCGCGCTTTGTCTGCGAGGACCCGACCTGCAGGGCAGCCTCGGCTCAGACACGCGGCACAACCTCCGTCGACCGCGCCCCGCCCCAGACAAAGAGCTCCAACTCCGGGCAGGTGAGCGAGGCGGCCGCCAGGAGCCCGGGTGGCCGAGCCCGCGCTGGGACGCAGACAAAGACGCGCGCCCCCCAC